CATAGCACGGGCAGAGTTCGCCTACAACAACGCAGTTCATAGCTCTACAGGTAGATCCCCGTTTTCAATTGTTTACATGAAGGTACCTAACCATGCATTGGACTTAGTAAAGCTACCCAGAGTACCCGGCCTCAGCACTTCTGCAGAGCAGCTGGCCGAACAGATCCAGTCAGTACAGGAAGAAGTATAGCAGAAACTTCAAAGGACCAATGCAAAGTATAAGTTTGCAGCTGACCGACATCGCAAGTACCAAGTGTTTGATGTCGGTGATGAAGTCATGGTGTTCTTAAGGAAGGAACGCATACCCATTGGGAAGCATAGCAAGTTACAGCCACGGAAATACGGCCCATACAAGATCCTTAAGAAGATCAATGACAATGCCTACGTAGTGGACTTACCAGATCACTTGGGTATTTCCAAAACCTTTAATGTTGCTGATCTTCATCGTTATTTACCGGACGCGACACTTGCATATCCCGATCATGACTCAGGGTCGAGTTCTTTCCAAGTGGGGGAGAATGATGGAGGACCAGCTCAACAACCGGCGACAGTCCACACCGCGCACGCCTAGAGAGTCCTTACGTGATCCAACAAACCCAGGATAGTGTCGACAGCTCACTGCCTTGGAGATGGTGGCTATCAGACGGTGGACGTCAAGTCCAATTCCTAGTTGTTTTAGTTGTTTTACTTTCCTAGTTATTCTACAAGACTACCAGTATGTATTATAAATACTTCAGTTTCTGAGCTCAATAGACACACAAGAATTTTCTTTAGCAATTCTCTCTACTAATGCTCTACGCTTAGCTCTTTACGTGAGGCTTCAAGTCTGAAGCCGATTCGATCGTCCGGGTGCTTGCATAGTCAGCCCGGTCGAGTGCGTCACGCTGCGTCAATTTATAACCGTTGCAAGATAAGACGGGTATCAATCTGGTACAGAGATAAAAGATGGCATGTCCATGATCGCAAGTGGTGGCAACCCAGGAAGAGAAGCAGCAATAGTCTCTGTCGTTGGGACTGTCGGAAGCCCCTGGTGAACATGGTAGTATATATTTTCAACAGCACACATTTGAGTGAAGAATGGAGCCCCAACTAAGCCCAAACTTTTGGCTACATCCAGAGCCCATGGAAGGAATGAATCGTACACAAGGCAATCAAGTGGGTGTCCATAGATGAGCTCAGCCAAGGTTTGCGAGCTAACTTCTTTAAAACGGTTGAGGTAGGCTTCGGTACTCTCTGCTTTCAGAACTCCGCCATCATCGTAGCCATCAGAGATAGTTTGGACGTCGACGGTCGACGGAGATGGAATCGGTGTCCATTGACCTCCAGGACGAGAGGGTGGTTACAAGCGTGGTCTTGAGCCCTTTGAAAGCTAAACGCTTGGCGACATGGAGCAGTGGGTTAATAATGTGGCCTTGGGTTGGGTAAGGGAGTACTAATATATGGCCTCTATTATAAGCTCTCTTCCTCTCCATTTCTGTTCTCTAAATTTCGTACACCAGTCTCCATTTTTACAGGAAGAAGATACACATTTATATATGGAGAAGATGTGGCTAGAATTGTAGATAAAATAACAGGCACATGTGGATTTTGTAGCTCTACAGCTTAACCAACCCAATCGTCGAAATGTGAGGAGCACGATAAAGGCTTTAAGCGTACGTTCTCTTCCTTCTTCCGAAGTCAAGATGAGAATTGACAGTTCCATGGTGCCGTGCCGGGCCGTGCTTGTATGTTGTGTCCTCTCGGATACTTTAGAGATCAGGCCCGGCGCGGCCATTGGCACGAGCCCAGGCGGACCTGGGCCGAGCCTTGAGCTAGGCCGGGCCAGGCCATGGGAGGCATATGTTTTCAAAAAAAAAATAAATATAATGAAAATTTTAAAATATATTAACAAAATAGACAAAAATTGAAAAAAAATCATATAATTTTATCTTATATGAATTTTGAGGTATACAATTGTTTATATATGAAACAATAGTGAAATTATAAAAATTGCAATACAATTGAAATAAAATAGTATAACAAACTTGAAAATAAAAACTTATATACATTTATAAATTATATATTACATATTATTATTATATTATTATTACATACAGATAAGCATACTGTGTCGAGCCGCGGATCGGTGCCAGCATGGCTAGCCTTGTCATGATTTGCCATTTTGGCCTTAGGCCTGAAGACCCAAGCCCAACATGGCCCAATTTACAGCTGTAGTCCCATATCCCATCCTATCTCGGTATTGGGAATAGACTTGTTCATGGACGAAGTTGCCCAACAGGTTGGCCCAGCCTGGCCCTACCCGATCTAAGTCGGGCTTGGATAACATATCAGTTCCATAGGCTCGGGCTTTCTCAAAAAAGCCTGGCCTGAGCTCGAGCCCAACTTGATAATATATAAAAATATATAATATATTTTTTCTTTATTCTTCTTTTTTTTCAAGTAATTGTGAAATCTTTCCTTATTTTTTTAGGTTTTGAAGTATTTTAATATAAATAAAACAGTTTTTTATTGAATAAAAAAAGAAAAAAAACTTTTTTCCAATTTTCTGACCAGGCTTTGGCTCGGCCCTGAGCTTCGGGCTTTATATGGTAAGGTCGGGCTTGGGCTCAGGTTTGAGTGTTTTCTGTTAATAGAAAAACAAAGCCTGATTGGGCTGACCGAGCCCATGAACAGGTCTAATTGGGAACATCTCCCCCATGATAAGTATGAAAGGTGTTCCCAATACATGTTGAGATGTGCATGTGAGATTATTGAGTTCCAATCGGTAGTTGAACATCGAGAACATATCCTCATGAAGTACAAGGGAGATATTCCCATCTATGACGCCAATAGTTGCTGAGGCTATGTATCTGAAGAACTCGTAATTACCAACCTAGCTCTAAAAACCTTGGGTTATTATAGGAATCCTCAGAGTTTAGATTGGGCCACATTGGGTCCAAAGAACAAACCCAGATTTTCTACTCACTTTTCTTACCCACTCTCTCCTTGCCTTGAATTGCAGCCACACATATCTCAATTTATAATAGAGATGTGTGGCTGCAATTCATCATGGCGGGCAGAGGGTGGGTAGGAAAAGTGAGTAGAAGATCCCGTTTGTCAAAAAACAGGCTGGTTCTAACAACCATTGCAGCCATGCATCCAGAACATCTCCTTTATCCTTCATGGCAAGATATTCTGTATGTATAGCTGTAATGGCTGTTGTGACCATATATATATGGACTGAAACCACATTTCTCTTTCGAACATATTCATATTTTATTTATTATATAAATTGTATAATTCATGGGATATCGAGTTGGGAATTCCCCCCAATAAACCACCTTCCAACACCCTATCAACATGATCTGACATGAGATTAGAAACCACCATAAAAGTGGGGGCTGCCATGTATTAGATGTGCAGTGTTAGATCATGTTGGTAGGGTGTTAAAACACATTTTGTTGGCAAGAGACCTGGGGGTAGCCTATTCCATACCCATAACCAGCCCCCTTGGATTTGATCCCACATCTCTCCACTACAACTAATGAGTGAAAGACGTTGCCACATGTAGGGGTGGTAATTTTTCACTCAACCCGCTGAATCCACCCAATCCACCCAGTATCTAATCCACCCATTTACTTGGCAGGTTGGAAATGAGTTTGATCACCCATTGGGTCAATTTAAATGGGTTGGGTTGGATTGGGTTGTAGATAACCATTGGGTTAACTACTAAATATATAATTATTAATTCCTTGGCATTTTTTTTAATTTTCTTCATTTGAAAAAAATAAGTTATAATTAATTTATTAATTTTCTATTAATTATTAACAAAAATTAGTTTTGTCTCAAATCAACACACTTCACCCAAATCGACATAAATCCAAATCAATTTGACCTGAGTCCGGACCGATTCGACTTAAATATGAATAGATCCGATCACCTCGGTTCAATTCATTTGGGTTAAATCGGGTTTGGGTTCAACCCAAACCAAACCAAACCCAACCAACCCGCCCAATTGCCACCGCTAGCTACATGAGCTACCATCAGTTGGTAAAATTCTCTTGAACTTTACCCTAGCAATATTTTATACCTCGAGAAAACCAAAACCCGTCCGACCCCCACCCCCCAATAACTTTCCGTTAATGTTAGGAACCAAGTATTGACCATAACAAAAGGATTAGCCTACTAAACAATAATCCGAATTTAAACTAGGTTCTAGTTTAGATGAAAGGTTGCTACTGAATTGGAGCCGGGGGTAAATCGGAAACCTTAGGCTGTATTTGGAAACGATGCAAATAAGTGTGAATGTATATATGTTGAGCGTAAAACGGTTCATATAAATTATAAAGTTCGGTTAGTTTTGAACCAACAAACTTACCTTCTTACCAAATAGATTTTTAGCTATAATGAATGCAAACACGAATTACAATAAAGTATGTCTTTTTTATCAAAAACCCACTTTAATTCAAATTTACTTCTTTTTTATTGATGGCTTTTACATCTTATTATCAATGTAAATTTGCATTAGAAAATGTGTTTTCATTCATTCAGGGTTTTTAAAAATAAACCAATGACCGAACTGGTCGGGGGTCCGGTTACCGGTTCGAACAGTCTGACCGTTCAACCCGAACAGTCGGCCCGTTCTAACAAAAAAATAGAAAAAAATAAAAAAAAAAATAGAAAACGGTCAAAACCGTTCGAACGGTTTGAATGGTTAACCAGCCAGTTCAACGGTTTGTTGACCAAAATCAACGGTTTTGGGGGAAAAAGCGGTTTTGGGGGAAAACGGAACCGGTCAGGTGACCGGTTCCCAGTTTTTCTGGTCTGTTCCAGTTTTGAAAACCATGTTCTCATTTGTCAATGCATAAATGTAAAGAAGATGGTTCAGCCCAGGGTCAGAATTTATAGGCCCAAAGTACTGTTGGAATACGTGCCAGCTTGGAATTGATGCCAATTCACGGGCGGACATTGATGCATAGAGTATGGGTTGTTGACATTTTGAATGTTTATAATTCCGTAAATGTAATGTTATCAAACACACAAAATAAACCAGAGTACAAATTTATCGTAAACTGAGATTTACACTCCATTTGCATCGTTTCCAAACAGACTTAGAGTTGAAATTGGTTGAGCGCCTAACTTGTAAGTACAAAAAGACATAAAAGGCCTTAGGACATTATATGCTGATAAAGGGGCTCTATTCTCTGGTCAATAAGTATCTGCTGATAGAAAAAGTCATCACTTAAACACCAATTTAGCTACAAACTCGTCAAGGTTTTTATCTGAACTTCCACCTTCATCCATTGCCTCTTTAGCCAAATTTCTCCACTTGATGGCATTCTTCCTAATTTGTTCCCCTCTCTCTCCCTCCATAATTTCCCTTACGCAGCGCTCTACCTCTTCTCTACATACAATTCCCTTTTCACCTGGCCGAGCCCTGAGACCAACTTCCCATACATCCTCCACATACTTTGCATTTGTGGGTTGATCCGTCCACTGTGGGATTCCCACCATTGGCACGCCCAAGCTCACAGCCTCCAGAGTAGAATTCCACCCACAATGCGTAACAAAGCAGCCCACTGCCTGGTGAGCTAAAACCTCCAACTGGGGACTCCATGCCACAATCAGCCCCTTGTCTGATGTCTCTTCTATGAACTTGTTTGGCAGCTTGTCCACCTCTGATGATCTCACAACCCACAGGAAGTGGCTATTAGTCCTCCTCAATCCCCACCCAAGTTCCTCCATCTGTTCTACCTCAAGTGCTGCAAGGCTCCCAAATGACACATAAACAACTGATCCAGCAGCCCTTTTGTTTAGCCAATTCAAGCAAGCACTACCATCTGACTTGAAGAGATTGAGACCATAGTCCATATCATATGTCACCCTTTTGTCCATATACATAGACGGTATTGTTGGTCCAATTGTCCGCAATAGTGGCCAGCGTCTTGTCATCCAATCTACCTCCTATATGAGAATTTACCAACACAAAAACAAGTGCAACTTTAGTTCAAAGGGGAAAATGGAACAAGGGATAGAGGATTTTGTCTCTCCTCATCATTCCCTACCACCAGATTGATTTAAGGGTCCGTTTGGTTTGCAGTTGGAATCAGAACAGAAATCCCTTGGAATCAGAATTGGAATGATCTTTTTTTATAGTCTGTTTGGTACAGACAGGAATCAGAATGGAAATTGAAATCAGCAGGAATGAAATTTCATTCTCAAGGGAGAGGGAGGGAATGGCCATTCCCTTAAATTGGGGAATGTCATTCTACCAGGATTGAGAACGAGATTCTAATTCCACCCAATCAAACAATTGAAATCAGAATGGTCCATTCCAATTCTGATTCCAGACTCCTATTCCTGCGAATCAAATGGGATCCAAGTATAGCCATTTGAATAAAACTTGGACATTGATCAATTTGTTATATTGAGAAATTTTGAAATACTCACCTCAACCTCTAACTCTTGGAAGGTGTTGACAAGGATCCAATCTGTTGTCTCCAAGTTAGAGAACTGATTTACAACCATTGCAAAATAAGACGGGTATGACCCAGATACAGAGATAAAAGATGGCATGTCCATGATGTCAAGTGGTGGCAACCCAGGAAGAGAAGCAGCAGTAGTCTCTGTCATTGGGACTGTCAGTAGTCCCTGGTGAACATGGTAGTATATATTTTCAACAGCACACGACTGAGTGAAGAATGGAGCCCCAACTAAGCCGAAACTTTTGGCTACATCCAGAGCCCATGGAAGGAATGAATCGTACACAAGGCAATCAACTGGGTGTCCAGAGCTCTTCTGTTTCTTGATGAGCTCAGCCAATGTTTGCGAGCCAACTTCTTTAAAACGATTGAGGTAGGCTTCGATACTCTCCGCTTTCAGAAATCCGCCATCATCGTAGCCATCGGAGATAGTTTGGACATCGACGGAGATGGACTCGGTGTACATTGACCTCCAGGACGAGAGGGTGGTTACAAGCGTGGTCTTGAGCCCTTTGAAAGCTAAACGCTTGGCGACTTGGAGCAGTGGATTAATGTGGCCTTGGGTTGGGTAAGGGAGTACTAATACGTGGCCTCTATTATAAGCTCTCTTCCCCTCCATTTCTCTTCTCTAAAGTTGTTACACCAGTCTTCATTTTTACAGGAAGAAGAAACACATTTATATATGGAGAAGTTGTGGCTAGAATTGTAGATAAAAGGGTTTCTTGCATATAGGGGCAACTTTTTGCTCTTAATATCAATAAAAAGTAATATTTTATATAATAACTAAAACAGGGTAAACTTTTTGAAAAAATATCAAGAAAGGGCATTGTTGTTCATCTTCCTCCTCTGCTCTCTATTCATGCTAATGATCATAACATTGCGATGCTCCACCCCTTTGAACCCATCGTAGCCTTTCAAGATCACTTTCATGAACGGCACGAACGACATGGATACTCCCGATATAGCCCTCTGTTGGGAATAAGCCTGTTATCTCACAATAGCCAAATAACACTTAATCTGAACTGAAGCATAGTAATTCTCATTCCCTCTTTGTGCAATTAAATGAGCATGCAAGCCAAACAATATCAATCAAATAGAAAGTGTATGCAATAACAAGAACACAATCCACAAATAAAGACACAAGATTTTGACGTGGAAAACCCTCCAAAACGAAGGGAAAAACCACGGGCAACTAGCCACTTAAAACTTCCACTAATAAATTAATGGGATACAACCAAGTTCTTCTCTAGTAGTGAATCTAGAGGATATCAGCATCAACTACTCACCCAATAAAGGTGGATTTCATCACATATTACCAAATAACTCAGAGACAAAAATGAATCTCACCAAAATGATAATAGAGAAGAGAAATAGCAAATCAAACCAGTAGATATGCAGCTTGAGGCGCCATTGACTGCATACTGAAATCCCAAGACGATTGGAGAAAGGATCACTACACAAGTTTGTATTCTTCACCCATGAGAACTCAAAAAAACTCTTCTTTTTTCCCCTCTCTCTCTCTTTCTCTCTCTCTCTCTCTCTTCTGTTTTTGGTGGTAGGCTTCACCGAATAGGTTCAGTTCACAGAAGTTTTTTTTTTTTTTCTTTAACGCTCCTCAATTTCTCTCCGCATGCGAAGTCGAAGAGGCTACCTTTATGAGTCTCTTCGACTTCCAACTCTCCGCCTCCTTTTTTTTTTCATTGTTTGTGGGCCCTCCACATGAGAAGAGAGCCCAACCAACACCCTCTGCATTAGCTCGTTCATCTCTGGCTTGTCTCCGTAGTACGAGTATGCCGGCTCACCATTGGCCTTCACGAACAGTTCCTCTTTTGGGTCCACCACCACCTCGTGCAGAATGGGTCACACCTTCACCAGTGCATCCTGGCGGTGTTGCAGAATGTACGCAGCGTACGATAAACCCTCTCTGTCGGTGACCAGGGTCTTTCCAATCTCCGTCAAGGAGTACTTGTGCTCCGAGCAGTCGTCGGCGATGTTCTCCGAGAAGACGTAGTTGGTGAGCATTCGAAGGATGTGCTAGAGGTTTTTGGGATCGCCGGTTGGGAGGACACGTGCTAAGATCTCGAAGGCAGAGAGAGGGACGTTGGAACTACCTTGCCAGATGGCATTGGGGACCTTGAGGCGAACGATGGCATTGAAGGACATCGGGACGCTGATTATGTTGGGAAGCTCCAATGTGGCCAGTCTGGCGTTGTTTTGGGTTTCCGTTGTCTCGTCCACCATGGCCATAGAGCTCTTGTTCTTCTCAGTTCTTACTTCTCAGAGATGGCTGCCAGTGCTGTTGTTGGTTTTTGATAAGGAGGTGAGGGAAAGATACTATTAACTACACCCACTGTCCACTGCTGTTTTAGGTTTCCATTGTCTCGTCCGCGAGCATAATTGTCGCCGGCGACCTTAACCTCCCAGTAGTGCCCTTTCTTGATATTATTCTAAAAAATTTACCCTATTTTAATTATTAAATAAAAAATTATTATTTTTTTTATAATAAAGGCAAAAAGTTGCCTTTATGTGATAGAAGTGTAGAACCCAACTTTTTACCCTTAACATCGAATGTGGATTTTGATAAAATGACAGGCACATGTGGATTTTATACCTCTGCAACTTAACCAAACCAATCGTCGAATTGTGCATCAAGTTCAAAGAGATAAAAAGAATAAAATAGAGACTCGTACACTACGTGCCTGCCTAAATGTAAGGAGCACGTTAAAGGCTTTAAGCGTACGTTCTCTTCCTGCTTTCAAAGTCAAGATGAGAATTGACAGTTTCATGGTGCCGTGCCGGGCCGTGCTTGTGTGTTGTGTCCTCTCGGATACTTCAGAGGTCAGGCCCGGAACGGCCATTGGCACGTGCCCAGGCGGATTTGGGCCGACCCTTGAGCCAGGCCGGGCAAGGCCATGGGAGGCATATTTAAAAAAAAGTTAAAATATATTAATAAAATAGATAAAAATTGAAAAAATCTTATAATTTTATTTTATATGAATTTTGATGTATATAATTGTTTATATATGAAATAATAAAGTGAAATTATAAAAATTGTAATACAATTGGAATAAAATACTATAATAAACTTGAAAATAAAAAGTTATATACATTTATATATTATATATTGCATATTATTATAAAATATAGATAAACATATTGTGTCAAGCCGCGGACCCGTGCCAGCATGGCTTGCCTTGTCATGCTTTGCCATGTCGGCCTTAGGCTTGAAGACCCAAGCCCAACATGGCCCATACCCTCGGGTCATGTCGTGGCACGACCTACATGCTACAGTGATGGGCCGGATCCAACATGGCCCAATTTACAGTTCTAGTCCCATATCCCATCCCAACTCTATATTGGGATTAGACATGTTCATGGGCCAAGTAGCCCCGGCGGATCGACCCAGCCTGGCCCTACCCGATTTAAGTCGAGCTTGGACAAGATATCAGGCCCGTAGGCTCGGGCTTGGGCCTAAAACACCAGGTCCAACCCTTTTTCAGGTCGGGCTCGGGCTTTCTAAAAAACGCCTGGCCTGAGTCCGAGCCTGACTTGATAATATATTATATAATGAAAATATATTTCATATAATAAAACATATATAATATATTCTTTCTTTATTACTATTCTTTTTTTTAACTAATAGTGAACTCTTTCATTATTTTTTGGGTTTTGAGGTCTTTTAATATAAATAAAAAAATTATTTATTGAATAAAAAAAGAAAAAAAAACTTTTTCCAATTTTCTGAACAGGCTCTGGCTCAACCCCGGGCTTTGGGCTTTATATAAGGGTCAGGCTCAGACTCCAAACCTAGGCCCAATGGTCAAGTCGGGCTCAGGCTTAGGTTTGAGTGTTTTCTGTTAATACAAAACAAAGCCTGGTCGGCCTGAACCCAACCCCGGCCTGACCCGGCCCATGAACAAGTCTAATTGGGAACATCTCCCCCACGATAAGTACAAAAGATGTTCCCAATACATGTTGAGATGTGCAAGTGAGGCACACTTTGTGGGGAGCTGATCTGAAGAACTAATTATTAAGTTCCAATTAGTTGGTGAAGATCAAGAACATATCACCATGAAGTACCAAAGGAGATATTCCCATCTACGACACCAATAGTTGCTGAGGCCATATATCGGGACCAAATTGGAACTCCTAATTACCAACCTAGCTCTAAAAACCTTGGGTTATTATACAAATCCTCCGATTTTAGATCAGGTCACACTGGGTCCAAAAGAACGAACCTAGATTTCCTACTCGCTTTTCCTACCTATTCACTACCTGCTTTGAATTGCAGTCACACATCTCTCAATTCATAATAGACGTATGGCTGCAATTCACGGCAGGTAGTGGGTGAGTAGGAAAAGTGAGTAAGAAATCCCGTTTGCCAAAGAACAGCTGGTTCTAACAACCATTGCAGCCATGTGTCAAGAACATCTCCATTACTTCATGGCAAGATGTTCTTTTATGTATAGCTGTAATGGCTGTTGTGACCATATATATAGACTGAAACCACATTTCTCTTTTCAACATTCTCTTGATTTTTATTTATTTATTTATTATATAACTTGTATGCTTCATGGGATATTTAGTTGGGACCTCCCACCAATAAAACCACCTTCCAACACCCTACCAACATGATTTGATAGTGACATTTCAATATCTCATCATGAGATTAGGAACCACTATGAAAGTGGGGGCTGCCATGTATGAGATGTACAGTGTTAAATCATGTTGGTAGGGTGTTAAAACACATTTTGTTGGCAAGAGACCTGAGGGTAGCTTATTCCATACCCATAACCAGCCCCCTTGGATTTGATCCCACATCTCTCCACTACAACGACTAAGAGACGTCGCCACATGAGCTACCATCAGTTGGTAAAATTCTCTTGAACTATACCCTAGCATTTTATACCTCGAGAAAACTAAACCCCGTCCCACCTCCACCCCCAATAACCTTCCGTCAATGTTAGGAACCAAATATTGACCATAACAAAAGGATTAGCCTACTAAACAATAATCCAAATTTAAACTAGGTTCTAGTTTAGATAAAAGGTTGGTACTGAATTTGGCAATGGAGGTAATAGGCTGTGTTTGGAAACAATGCAAATAAGTGTGAATGTAAATATATAGAGTGTAAAACGGTCCATATAAATTATAAAGTTGGATTAGTTTTGCACGGACAAATTTACCTTCTTATCAAACAGATTTTTAGTTATAATGGATACAAATACGAATTCCAATAAAGTATGTCTTCTTTTTATCAAAAACTTACCCACTTAAATGCAAATTTACTTTTTTTTTATTGATTTGCTTTTACATCTTATTATCAAATGTATTAAAAAATGCATTTTCTATCATTTGTCAATGCATAAATATAATATTTCCAAATACAAGCAAAACCAAAATACAAATTTATTCTAAACCGAGATTTACACTCTATTTGTATCGTTTCCAAACGCAGGCTTAGAATTGAAAATGATTGAATGCCTAACTTATAAATTTAAAAAGACTAGTAGCAGAGACTCCGAGAGTAAAGTTAGTTGATGTTAATGAGCCAAGGTACCAAGGTGATAAGGTGGGAGCTGGTGCAAGTGCAAGAGTAAATGCATAAGAGAGAATAATACATGTTACTCC